TCCAGTCTGGGCAACAGAGTGAGACTCCAACTCAAAAAAAAAAAAAAAAAATAGTGGTATCTGAATGGTTGGAATATAAGCCTCTTCTAAGCTTTCCCTGAACATATGTTACTTGGGCAAGAAGTTGTTTTTAAAGTCATAAATGTAGTCCACCCCATCTTTCCCCTCAGACCAGAATTGAAACCCGTGGACAAGGAATCAGAAGTTGTGATGAAGTGAGTACTGGACCAGAGAATTGGTGGGGAGGCGCCGGCTTATGGCTACCTCCACATCCTCATCCCACCTCCTGCATGCAGGTTTCCTGATGGGTTTGAGAAGTTCTCACCGCCAATTCTGCAGTTAGATGAGGTGGATTTCTACTATGATCCTAAACATGTCATCTTCAGTCGTCTTTCCGTCTCTGCTGATCTTGAGTCCCGCATCTGTGTGGTATGAATGCTGTTTCTCTGTTCCATGAGCTGAGACTCTCCTGCCCCGGTATGTGGTGTGGATTGACCTAGATCTCAGGCTGTAGTGGAAAGAGATCCACAGGAACAGGATTTAAGGCTAAGGACGTTGCTGGACTTATGCTGACCGTGTCCTCTGGCCTCACAGAACCACCCTGCAGGGAGAAAGAACCTATTTTGTGTGTTTTACGAATACTTAAAGCAATGCTTTATCTTATTTGTCTCGGTTCTGAGTTTTCTCAAACCATGGGACATCAAGGAGAGAGCACAGGCTTCAGGGTCAGTTCAGATCCTGACTGTTTCATTTCCTGACTTGGTTACCAAGCAGTTTTCTCATCCTTAAAATGGAGATAACATCTACCTCACTTGGTTATTGGAAGAAGTAAGTCCCTAACACTTAGCAGATACTCAAGTATTGGTTCCCTTAGTATTTATTTTTCTGCATAGTTCCTTAAAAAATATTTTTTTGGCTGTTCAAGGAGTCATTGGGACTACCCAGGACCCCTTCTCATCTTCCCTCTGTGTTCCACACATGTGCACCTTTTTAAAATTGTCATGTAATCATTGTACATTTTTGTGGGGAACAGAGTGACATTTTGATAATGTATATGTATAGTGATCAGATCAGGGTAATCAGCATATCTATCATTTCTTTGGGCTAGGAACATTCAAAATATTCTAGCTATTTGAAAATGTACAATGAATTATTAACTATAGACACTCTGTAGTGCTATAGAACACCAGGACTTATTCCTCCTACCTAAATGCAATTTTGTTTTCATTAACCAACCTCTGCCAAACCCAACCTCTGCCAAACCTCTCTCTCAGTCCCCCTCTCTCCCACTACCCTTCCCAGCCTCTGGTCACCACAGTTCTACTCTTTACTTCTCTGAGCTTGACTTTCTTAAATTTCCACATATGAGTGAGAACAGACAGTGTTTATCTTTCTCACACACATTCTGTAACATTTTTGTGTTCCCTTCAGGTTGGGGAGAACGGAGCAGGGAAGTCTACCATGTTAAAGTTACTTATGGGTGACCTGGCACCCATTCGAGGCATCAGACATGCTCACAGGTGAGACCCACATCTGCCTTCATGCACACACACACACGGCCTCTCACACCTGCACTCTCTCATGACCATTGCCTTCCACCCCCTTTTCCACCTCCATATCTGCCTGCAGGAATCTGAAGATTGGCTATTTCAGCCAGCACCACGTAGAGCAACTGGACCTGAATGTCAGTGCTGTGGAATTGCTGGCACGCAAGTTTCCTGGTGTGTTAGGGATTTGGGTTGAGGAAGGAGAAACAGGCCAACCCTTGTAGCCAGGTCTGCTTTGGGATGGGTGCAGAGCAGCCTGCCCTCATCTATAGGGACATGGGCATTGGCAACTTGGCTGGAGGGCCAAGGGAGGGAGTTGGGCCAAGAACCCACCTAATTGACGAGTCATTTTCCAGGGAGGCCCGAGGAGGAGTATCGGCACCAGCTGGGCCGGTATGGCATCTCTGGAGAGCTGGCCATGCGTCCTGTTGCCAGCTTGTCTGGAGGCCAAAAGAGCCGAGTGGCCTTTGCTCAGATGACCATGCCCTGGTGAGGCCTCATTTTCTAGAGCTCTTGCCCAGTAGAAGGTGATCTTCTCACCTTTGTATCAGAAGGGTTTTCTCCCACCCCATCCCTTAACTGCCCACCTTCCCGGGTTCTGCCTTCCAGCCCCAACTTCTACATTCTGGATGAGCCCACAAACCACCTGGACATGGAGACGATCGAGGCTCTGGGCCGTGCCCTCAACAGTTTCAGGGTAGGAGAGCCTTTGCCCTTACTGTCCCCCAGGCCTCAGCACCCCTGCTGCCCCTGAGCATCACGTGTGCCCTGTCTTTCAGGGGGGTGTGATTCTGGTGTCCCACGACGAGCGCTTCATCAGGCTGGTATGCCGGGAGCTGTGGGTGTGCGAAGGAGGCAGCGTCACCCGGGTGGAAGGAGGCTTTGATCAGTACCGTGCCCTCCTCCAGGAACAGTTCCGCCGCGAGGGCTTCCTCTAGGGCCACCAGGCTGAGGACTTGCCCAGGACATGGACTGGTCTCTCAGACCCCTCGGCCACCCACTCCAGGCTGTGGACTTCCCCCCACTTGGAGACAGCCTTATTCCCAAATGTCTCTCTTCTTTCGACTGGAGCCTCCTCTGCACAACCTGGGGATACCCGTCCAAGGACCTGTGTGGACTGGTCTCCCAGGGAATGAGTCGGGGATACCCTCTGGGGTTACAGATGCCCCCACTGCCCCAGCTCTGACTGGGCCCCAAGTGGCTGCTATGTAAATTAAATCTCCCCTGCCTCCTCTCTGCTGCTTCCTGGACATGACCACAGTGGTGCTTACTGTTGAGGGGTATGGGCTCTCTGATTGGCAGTTTCCTGTGACACTTGTATTGCATAAGGGACACAGTGGCAGCACCAGCCTTGCCCCAGGGAGAGACATCATCAAGGCCATGGGACATGGGGGTCATCTGCCTGACCCTGGGGTGGGCTGAGCCGATGGAACGAAGGGCATTGTATTGGCATCACTGTGGTGTGGTTACCCCTCACCTGGGCTCAGCCCCACTGAAGGAGTCTTAGGCTTTGCTGTCTCAGCCCCCACTGCCTCAAACATGGCCAACTGCTTTCTCCAGTGGTTTCTGTCTCCATCTTGCCCTGCTTCTCTGATCTGGACCCGCAGAGCTGAAGAGAAACCATCTTTGTCCTTAGTTTGCTTGGGTGATTTCATGTTTGTTGTTTTTCCTCAAACCATGTAGGAGGGGCCTGAAAAGTGGGGAATTTAGGACAGGATCCATCAGGAAGAAATAGAACAGTTTGTTTTAAGCAATCTTTAAGAGGAGAGAGAAGTTTAACAGAGGTAGTATGATTATAAATATTATTTCTGAAAGATGTAATTGTTACTTAGAAGACATTAAATGGAGACCTTGGAGCTGGGAGCGGTGACTGGTGCATGTAGTCCCAGCTCCTGGGAGGCAAGAGCATTGCTTGAACCCAGGAATTCAAGGCCAACCTGGGCAATGTATCAAGACCCTATGTCTTAAAAAAAAAAATGATCTGGGCTCGGTGGCTCAGCCTGTAATCCCGTGCCTTTGGGAGGCCGAGGTGAGTGGATTGCCTGAGCCCGTGGGTTCAAGACTCGCCTGGACATCGAGACCTCATCTCTACAATAAATCAAAAAATCAGCCGGGCATGGTAGCACGTGCCTGTAATTCTGGCTACTCGGAAGACTGAGGCGGAAGGATCGCCGGAGCCCAGCAGGTGAGGCTGCGGTGGCCGGGAGTGGCCACTGCACTCCAGTCTGGGCAATAGAGTGAGACTCCAACCCAAAAAAAAAAAAAAAAGAGCAAGAGAGATATTGCTTTGCTCCCAGTGACAACGGAGAAACTAGTGTCAGCAGAAGGAACTTACTGGCTTCATGGAGATTGTGTGACAAAGCTCAACCAAGAAATCTTAACTTGGAGCTGCTAAGGCTGATGTGGTATATAGGTAGCTGGGCAGAGAAGCTTGTTGGGGGGTCAGGGTGAATAAAGACAGGCTCTGTTGACTGACCACACAGCAGGCGGCAGCTAATGACTGGCAGAGGTATGCCTGCCCCCTTGTGTTCCTCCCTCTCAGAAGCCAGAGGAGGAGTTCCTCCAGCCACAGCCATGGCACATCTGAGAGCCTGCTCACAGCCTCGTTGTTCTCTCCCAGCCTCAGTCCTGCAAATGGGTGTGCCGGGGAGCTGTGCCTGCCTGCTGCCAGCTTTCAGCCCGAGCCCCTCACCTGTTGTGACCCCTGAAGGGTTCTCCCAGCTCTTAGAGTGCCTGGAAATGCAGCCAAGGGGCTCTAGGATGCCAAATCAGCCTTAGTGCTTCTTGAACACATCCTACCTGACTTCTTTATAGGACCATTGTGAGGATTCACCAGTGAACTCCTGTATTCAAGCACTCAGGAAGTGATTCCTATGTGACCGATCTGACTTGAGAGACTATCAGGGGAAAAGAAGTGAAATTTCTGAGTAGCTTCAGAGATAGACCAGTCCTCTGACAGTGAGCTCCCAGTTGAGGACTGTTGAGCCCTGTCAGGATTTAGAGAAGGGCTCTCAAGGTTCGGAGTATCACTAGGTGGCCTCCAGGTTGTCTTCCAATTTTATGATGCCATGAAAGAAATGTGAAGAGCCAATGTAGAGGGCAGTATGAGTCTACACTGCAGGACTTCACAAAGGGGACCAATGAATCAGCAGCAGAGAAAGACCTCGCTTTCAGAAGTTACAAGAGCTGGCAGAAGATAGTTGTTTTGAAGGATGGAAATATGTTAGTCAGCAGGCTTCATTTCAGAAAGTACAGGATGAAGAAGGGAGAGGGAAGTCTGACGTGGAAGAGGGGAGGTCACACTCACTCCAGGCTGTGCCTCACAGCCACCACCCCCTTCACTGGCCAACCCCACCCCCTGTCCCATTGGGAAGTCACCTCAGCTGCTCACCCTGGAGCTGCTCTGTTCACTTCAGGCCTTTAGGTCCACAGGAGCTGACCAGGTTGGCAGGTCTCAGTCCACTAAGCCTCCACACTTTTTCAGGCAACCTGACTGGTCCCCAGTGAGAAGGCAGGGGAAGAGGGGCCATGGGTCCCAGTCCACAAGTTTCTCTGAGATGCCAGTCAGAGAACTGCTTATTTCAATATGATTATTGCTGTCTAGAGGTTTGTTGGACATAATATTTTGCTAAAATGATTTCCGGGCAAATTTTAGCCAGCATCAGAGCTCAGCTCTCCTCAGACCTGAGCATGCAGACTGGATGTCAGAACCTCACTTGAAATCCCAGCAGGCTAACAGGGTGGGCCCCAGTTGCAGAGGGTGTTCCCAGCAGGGCTGGAGTGGAGACCCCCTCAGTCCTACCCCCTCCAGCTGGGCTTCCATGGCACATGGAGCAGTCATCCAAGCCCCATGAGGGCCTCAGTGAACCCCATGTTCTGGAGCTGGGCTGGCCCTGGGGGTTATCCTCAGCCTTTGGATGCCAGCTGCTACCAGAAAGTGACCTGGCCTGGAGAGGAAGTTCTTTTCAGTTGAGCCAAACCCCCAAGGGGCTGACTTCTGAGGACTCTCTGGCATCCACACTCTTAGCAGCTGAGGTGAAGATCCTTCATTCCTGAGAGAGGCTCTGGGCAGTCACCACATCATCCCCTACAGTGCCTAGCATGTAATAAGTACTCAATAGAGATGTTTGCTAAATGAATATTTTAGGAAAATTGATTTGAGAAAAACAGAATGACATTAAAGAGAGTAGAGGCAAAGAGCTATTTCCAAGATCCAGCCTTGAGAAGGTGAGGGTCAGGGTGATGGAGGGAGACGGGAGGGTGGGGTGCAGACTCAGCAAGGAGTTACAAACTCGGCCCAACTAGAGAGAATTCCTTTTTCTGGTCAGCCAGAATCGAAATAAAATGAAACAAAAGCTTTGGAGCACAAAGAGACAAAAGGAACCTTTTTAACTTTCCCTTGTTTTCTCTTAAGAAGAGGCTAAGGAACTTTTTTTTTTTTTTACTAGAAATCTCACTCTGTCACTCTGGCTGGAGTGCAGTATCACACTCACGGTCACCGCAGCCTCAACCTGCTGAGCTCGGGTGATCTTTCCTCCTCAACCTTCCAAGCAGCTGGAGCACCACCATGCCCAGCAAATTTTTTGATTTATTGTAGAGACACGATCTCACCAAGTTACCCAGGCTGTCCTCTCACCTCGGTCTCCCAAAGTGCTGGGATTACAGGTGAACCACTGCACCTGGCCAGGAAATTTCTTTTCTTTTTGAGTTGGAGTCTCACTCTGTTGCCCAGGCCGGAGTGCAGGGGCATGCTCACAGCCACCGCAGCCTCGACCTACTGGGCTCAGATGATCCTTCCGCCTCAGCCTTTCAAGTAGCTGGAACTACAAGCATGCACCACCATACCTGACTGACCTGACTAATTTTTTGATTTATTGTAGAGATGAGGTCTCACCAAATTGCCCAGGCTGTTATCGAACCCGTGGGCTCAGGCAGTCCTCTCACCTCAGCCCCCCCAAATGCTAGGATTACAGGCTTGAGCCACTGCACCTGGCCAGAAACTTCCTTTTTAAAATATTTTTAAAAATAGAGATAGCCGGGCTCAGTGGCTCAGCCTGTAATCCCGTGCCTTTGGGAGGCTGAGGTGAGTGGATTGCCTGAGCCCACGGGTTCAAGACCCACCTGGGCAGCGAGACCTCATCTCTACAATAAATCAAAAAATCAGCCGGGCATGGTAGCGCATGTAGCTGTAATTCCAGCTACTTGGAAGGCTGAGGCGGAAGGATCGCCGGAGCCCAGCAGGTCGAGGCTGCGGTGACCGAGAGCGGCCACCGCACTCCAGTCTGGACGACAGAGTGAGACTCCGACTCAAAAAAATAAAAATAAAAATAGAGAACTTGCTATGTTGTGCAGGCTGACCTCAAACTTCTGGACTCAAGCGATCCTCCCACCTCAGCCTCCCTAAGTGCTGAAATTACAAGTGTGAGCCACCGCAACTAGCCTGGAACTTTAAAACAGTAACAGTTCATATTTATTATGCTCTTACTGTGTAATAGCACAATTGTAAATGGTTTACCTGTATTAACCCAGTCAATCATCACGACAACCCTGTGAACTGGCACAATTATTGTCCTGTTTTATAGATGAGGAAATACAGGGGTTGACATGTGGCTAGCAGGGCTGGGACTCAGGGTCAGTCTGGCTCTGGAGCATAGCTCTTAACTGCTACACTGTGCTGCTGCTGGGCTCTTCATATGCCGTGTGGAATAGTCAAATCTTGTTAATTCCATCCTTAAGCCTCATCCCTAGTAGTATGGGCAGGAGATTTGAGCATGCTTCTCTCAGGAGAGCAAGCTGATGAGTAGGAGTTTCTGGCACAGTGACTGACACATGCTAGGCACTCAGGAAAGTTGATCATTAAATAAGTGATCCAAAATTCATGGTACAGTGGAAAGGCCATGCACTGGATTAGCGCGGCTTTACCACTGATGACAAGCTTGGGCAAGTCCACTTCCCCAAGTAAATTATCCTTATCCATAAAATGGGTGTAACACAGTTTGTCTTGCCTGCTTCTGTAGATAGTTGGATGGATTAAGACAAGTTCTTTGCGACCCGCCTGGGCAACTTGGTGAGACCTCATCTCTACAATAAATCAAAAATTAGCCGGGCGTGGTAGCGCGTACCTGTCGTTCCAGCTACTTGGAAGGCTGAGCAGAAGGATCGCCGGAG